GTTTAAGGACAAAAGGAACAGTAGAGAGAGGTAAGTACCCTTTTACAGTCAGGTGGGCCACTCCCTGTAGTAAATGATAGTCTTTCATTATTTGTCTTGCAGTAAGGGTGAGATTAGCTTCTAGTTTCTTTCTCAGGAGAGAAAGTGTGTGAGCATTAACTTTTCATCACCAGGAAGGTTGGGAGATCCATTGCAAGCGCAAAGAAAATGCAGTTTCAAACCTGTCGCACACTTACCTCTTAGAACAGTACCCTGATTATCTTGCTATGTATTTCTGTGTGTGGGTTTAAGGGAGATTCTTCAGCCCAGACATTTCACTCCATATGAATGTTCACAAATATGCTGTTATATATGTGTGTGTTAATAGAGGAACATGCATAAGCTGGAGCTCATAGATCATAGTTCTTATTTCACAATTAATATGTCTTAATACACAGCTCACAATTTATAACTCATTATTAGTAGCTTATGATATATTCTTAATAATTTATATCTCAAATAAAAATTCACTCCTCATATGCCATAATTCATAACTCACAACACAACATTGCAGTGAGCTCTTCTATGTCCGAAACCACCTGCCAGTCCCAGACGTAGATGCCTCGACCTACGAGTTGGACATCACTGATGAAGAGACTGATAAGGAGAAAGTCCTTACACTGGATGCCATCAAGAAGTACCCCAAGCACACAGTGACCGCCACAATACAATGTGCAGGAAACCGTCGTTCAGAAATGACAAGAGTATGTGAAGATACCAGACTTGTTTATTGTGTGTTTGCCATAGGCCTAGTTAGATTTGTTTTGTTTGATTGTGTATTTGTAAATATTTAGTTATTTTTCAAGATTCATTGGTATTTTTTGTGTATATTTTTCATTTCTATAAACTATATATTTATTTTCCCTCTTTTTTAGTTGATACAATTTTTCCATTTAGATCCTCTTGTGATTGTCATTTGTGTTTGTAGCTTTATGTATTTAACAGTTGTAGTTGTTGTTATCATTATTATTTGTTTCCATATCCTTACATTCTCCATAAGATATTTCTTGAATCTGTTTTTGAATATGACTGAGTTATGTCCTTTACAAGATTTTATATGTTAGATTCAAAATTTATGTAGTATTTGATTCTAAGAATATTGTTATTCTTTTTAGTATTTTCTTGTTTATTTCCAAATCGGAATATTAAGTTGTTGACACAGAGAACATCCACTAGTGTTTTGTTTTATGTATTTATTTTTTTACATTTATTTGTTTATTTATTTATTTATGTTACAGATTGATTGTTTTACCAGATCTAGATCAGAGAATTAGTTGCTACCCCATTCCATGCATTTACTAGAAAGAAAGAAAGAAAGAAGAAATCATATTGTATTATATTTATTATTTATAGTAATGATAACTTTTTTTCTCCCAGAATGAGATGATTAGGCAAGATCAGTAGGCCTTGAAATTTACTCTGTGATGAGCAAGCACTGTGGAGCTATTGATATATAAAAAATGGATAGAACAAAACTTTAGTGTAGAGTCTATGTACACATGCACTGCCTGCATCAAAGGCTGAAACGAGAGGTGTCCATGTTCCTCAGGAGGAAGGTCCCATAGCATTTTGTTTACATATCTGCAAAAGAAAGACAAAAAGAATAAGCAAATTGTTAATTACAGATGAAAAAATGTGGAAATTATAGTTTTTTAGTTTTTTATTCACAGGGCAATTTTCAAATGAATGATACAAATTATCCATGAACATCTGCAGAAATGTGAAAAAAATTAATAGAAATAATAGAATCTGATCTTCACATTCATAATACTCTTCAAATGTGCTTTACAGGTGAAGGAACTAGTGATAACCAAGGACTGCTAATATTCATTTGGTAAATTTGCATGAATTTGCATGCTTATTTTATTTATTTATTTATTTTTATTATTTTTTTATTATTATTATTTTTTTAAGTTTTACTCATTCCAGTGATGAATACCAAAAATAGGGGATAGGAGCAGGGGATGGCAGGTTTGCCACAGGCCCCATGAAATCTTGTGGTAGGTTGGGGATGACACAGAGGGTATGTTTTGAACACCCTTTTGCTAAACTTACCTTAAAAGAATTATCTTTCTCTAATTAATTTTTGTCCAGCAAAGGTGAAAGCTGTTAAAGGATTGAGCTGGGGCCTAGTAGCTAAACTAATAATGGAAAATGATCTTTGTCTAATTTTTTTTTTACCTGTAAAGGTGAAAGCTGTTAAAGGATTGAGCTGGGGCCAAGCAGCTATTGGAAATGCCAAGTGGAGTGGAGCACGACTCTGTGATGTGCTCAAGGATATGGGCATAGAGCGAGACACCACAGATGCTTTACATGTACAGGTCAGTTGAATTTTTATCCGGTATCAGATAGAGTATTTATGTTTTAAATAGATATCTATAATTACTCTCATGTATCTGTGCCTGCAATTAGATTCGTTTATATATTCATATATAGTTGAAAATATGTAAAGAATTGGATGTTACATTGTTGATTGTCAAATGAAAAAAGATTCTCCTTTGTTTTCATTTTAGTTTGAGGGGCTGGATACAGATCCTGCAAACATGCCGTATGGTTCAAGTATACCCATTGAGAAAGCGCTAGACCCCTACGGAGATGTTATTCTGGCATATGAGATGAATGGTGAAACCATACCGAGGGATCATGGCTACCCTATCAGGGTTATAGTACCTGGGGTTGTGGGTGCTAGAAATGTAAAGTGGCTGGGTGCGTTCTCATGTGTTGCGTTTTTATGCCTTTGACTTGGGAATTACTCTAGTTTGGAAAAGTACTTTATAAAGGATTATTTACCATGACATCATGAAATAATGCATAGGTATGCCAATGTAATGGGTGAATAGATATTAAAAAAACTATTTCTGATCTTATAACACAAATTGTTTTTCAGGTAAAATTATTATATCTAAGAAAGAATCAGATGCCCACTGGCAGCAGAATGACTACAAAGGCTTTGCCCCAAATGTTGACTGGGACACGGTTGATTTCAAGAAATCTCCCGCTATTCAGGAACTGCCAGTTATCTCTGCTATTTGTGAGCCACTAGAAGGAGGGACGGTGAAGGTCAAAAATGGCAAGGTCAAGCTGAGAGGTGAGTGTCTCTTTCATTCATAAAAGCTGGTTTTGTTTTTTCTCCATCGTTCTATGGCATGGGTATAAGAAGATATATTAGTTAAATTTTTTTCTCGCTTTATGTTAATTTGTATGTAGTAAGATTGATATTAATTTGAAGCTAAAATCATTATTTAGATCTAGAAAAGTAATTTAGAAAGGGATTTAGCTTGTAAATTACTATTGGTTAGATTAACTTCCTCTATTTTTGAAAAATATTTACATGCATCGAGCTACCAGTAGAATGTTTGCTGATTATTTGTCATTACTACCACATATTTTATCATATGGTTCCATTTTCTTAGTAGGACAGTTGCATTAAACATTTCCCATACCCTCTGTATTTTGTTTTGTCACATTTTAACCACTTGCCGCCAGGTAGTATATATGTACATGCCATGGCTCTTGTGGACAGAAAAACGGATGGCATCGTAACATGACCATTCCCACACCATTGGCTCATCGGACAGAGTTTTTATTTTATCCATGATAGTAGCGGCTTCATATATATGGTAAAGTTTTTAGGCATTGGCACCTAAAGTGAAGGTAAACCTTCAAATTATTAATATTATTATGAATTATAGAAAAATAAAAGCTTTTAGGTGCTGAATGTTGCTCACAAACTACCAAATGAACTGGGTGTAAACTGGAAATTGCTGATGCGCGCCAACAATCCTGTAATCATGTCCACTTTACCATTAACTTTTTTTTTTATATATATATTATTATATTATATTATATTAATAACAAATTACATATTATGATCTATGTAAATAAATGGTGCTATTCATTGCCCTCTGGTGCATGACAGGCAGTATAATAAATTATGATATATCCTATTAATACATCGTTAGATATATATAATATAGACTAACTCTCAAATATGCGCTGGTATAGTCTGGCACTACTATATTCACTATAGATCTTGCTATCGATAAATATACACTTTAACATTCCAACTTAATTGTTAATTAATCAGTGAAAATAAAAGTACCTTCTTATCTTATAAATGTATCTACTATATCAGTCTAATATTTCCTCATACCAAAGTAGCATTTTTATGTTTTATATGCACTTGTGGCAAGTCTAAAATTATATAATTTCATTATTCAACTCTCCTGCCTCAGCAAGAAATTCTCATGGATTACTAGGAGGTATCCTAAGTACACCTATAGTGGTACTACTTATGTTATGTATATATATTTATGTGTAGTCAATAGTATCCCATGTATTGATAAGTATGTAATCATATGTACACCTGCCCTCTCAAGCCAAAGTTTTTTTTGATGCATGGGTTATATACACCTCATTCAAAATCATATTAGTGATGAAGTATTGAACTCAATGGCCCCTTAGGCTATGCCTAGAAATATCAGATGTCTTTAATACTGATGATATTATATATCTAATATCTATAAGTAGAGCATATTAGCTAATATAAAAACTGATGTATATCATTAGAAAGCTTATATATTATATAATGATTTATGTAACTTCTATAATATAATTCTAATAATATTAAATATTAAATTTATAATCTATTGAGTTATTAAGTGGCTATATAGTCATGTATAATAATGTATTCTTGAAGAAGCTTATGTATCCTTATAATTGAATTCATTAGTTCCTATGATAGTGCATGCGATTACTACAATAAAAAGTCAGCGTTAGCAATGAGGAATAGGTATGCTTGATTAACTGTTAATTAAAATTTGCCAATACAAACAAAGTAATTAATTAATGTATAGTATAAGTTATTATATATATCAAAATTTCTAATTGATATTTTGTACTGATAAATGCCTGTTTATTAGCTTATAGCACCTTGTGTTTTAAGTAATTTATTATATATA